TTTTTCAAACAAGAAGAGACAATCCATATTTTAAACAAATTTTAAAGGATATTTTTAATTTACCCTTAAAACAAAGGCAGAGTAATTAAACACACACATACATATATATATATATATATGAAAACAATGTGTTGATGTGACAACACAACACTGTCATAGCAATCGTCCTCCACCAAAGTTATGTTAGAGATTTCATGTTATGTTAGAGATTTCATATAATCTACTAAATTTTTTACATATACGTGAATCTCACGCATATAAATTTATGTAAAATTTACACACATATAAAAACTTAACAAAAAAATTAATAAATTATTTGAGACCATGAATAATTTTCCCTGATCCCCTTCTACGTTGATATCTCAATTTTATCAACAGTACCATATGTCTAAAGCATTCATTAACTATGTGACCGAGTCGTGCTGTCACAGCACCTGCCCGCATCAATATATAGATAAAATTCATTCACTGTGTTACCGACACAACGCATCAAGTGTTGCTGTCACAGCTCCTGCCCGCTTTAACATATAGAAACAATTCATCAACTGTGTGACCGACAAAATGCGTCAAGTCTTAAAATATATAACAACAATAATTTATACCAATAAAAAAAATTACTAGTAACATTAATATATTAGAAATATTTTTAAAAAAAAAGATATAAGCAGTGAGCGAGATCTACTGCCACATCATTAATAGTATTATTAAAGCACCACTTTTAATGGTCTTAACCATTTTTCAATATATAATATGGTCCTGTTCTATCCCCCAAAAAAAAAAACGTCAGCGTTTGGGAGGAGGGTTAAAATAAAATAGTCTATTAAAAATAAAATAAATAAAAATAGCTAATAAAATAAATATCATATCTAATTTATAATTATTTTATTTCATTTCATTTCATATCAAATTAGTTATAAAAAATTAATTAATTTTTCACATACAACTTTTTAATCAAATTAAAATATTCAAAAAACCAAATAACTAACTAAAATAACTAACTTTTCAAATAAGGCCTAAATATAGGGCTTTCCTCCATTCTAAATCTGGATTGGAAATTGATGTTCATATCTGTGGAGTTACTACAAATTTAATTTTAATGATTCGAATTGTTATTTTTATTTGATCAATGCATATATATTACAAACACAAATAAATAAAATAAAATAAAGTGGATCTAATATTTTAGCCTTTCATTTTATCATATTTGTCTTTAAAAAAAATTAATGATCAATATGTTTTAAAAAATTAACCATTTATTTTTGGAAAAATTAGTCTAGGGTCCCTCTCCCACTTTTCGTAATGGAAGAGATCCACAAAATTATTTTTTGATGTCTAAAGTCCTTCAACCCCAAACTCATATATCACAGAGAAATTTAAGAAGTCTCTCTCTTCTCACTCTCTGCTCTCTCTCTCTCTCTCTCTCTCTCTTTTCTACATCAACCCCAAACCCTAGCTTCTTCCTTCATCCTCATGAGCTTGCTCAGAGCTATCAGACCTTGTTCTTGCTCAAACACGTCTAGACCCACGAACCGTGGTCTCGACGGAGCTGTGAACACAGACCAAATCAACGAGTTACTTCGAAAGCACCGAAACTGAATCGTGGCGGATCGAGTGCACCGAAACGAATGCTCGGTGTCGATGAGGTTGGAAACGAGTCTGATTAGACCAATGCGGGCGGAGCGAGTGGAGATGAAGAGGAGGAGGAAGAGGATGAGGTTGCTGCTATGTTTCTATGGTTGTGAGTGATTATATTCATTTTACTTGGTAATTGGTCTTCTAAGGTTGACAGGTAGGCCAACTTATTTTGAATAACTAAACCAGAATTCGTAGTGTAGGAACTTCGGAAAAGGTTGTGTCCCTACAGTGTTTTTGCACATGCTTTGTTTTATTCTGTTCTCCCTTCTTTTGTGCAAACAATGCACGAATTTGAACATGCATTTCATTGAATTTATTACTTCATTAACATACATATGATGGACCTCCTTATAAACATGAATATAATTCTGCATGTGAATCAGGTTGTGAATGGTGATGTAAGCTTTATATACTTCCACCTGTTTAGTATCAGTTTAATTTTTATTTTTTTTAAAACAGAAACAATCTCCTGCATTATTAGACCATTCTGACTGTTAGATCTACTGCATATCATTTGCTTGCTGCTTTTTATGGTTGTGAAGAAAGATTTCAATGTCAAGTGGAATTTGATGAATGAATTCTGAGAAATTTTCAACTATACCAACTTTATTAGATCTGATTTCATTGAATTTCCAAGACCTCCTCCTCTACAGAGAAATTTCAATTTTCTCTGCAGAGAAATTTCAATTTTTTTTGGGTTGAACCCAGAGAAATTCTTTGGGAAGTTCATAATTTCTTTAGGTTAGAAGTAATTTTCTTTGGGAGCATTTTTAGAACCTTCTATCTGTGACACAGTGAAAGCTTTCAACAACATTTGGTGGAGGATCAAACCCACGGCAGAGAAATTTGAAATTTCTCTGGAGTCCATGAAAGGCTAAGGAGGCAAATTTCTCTGGACCAATTTTCTCTGACTTGAATTTTTTCTGGACCAATTTTCTCTAGATTGATGTTGAGGGACCTTAGACATCATGAACATATTTAATGTCCTTTATACTATAAAATCATAATATCAGAGACCTTAAAAAAAATACCCCTTTATTTTTTAGTACAAAAGTGATAAAGTAAAGGGCAAATTACACCACTGATCCCTATATTTTACTTCGTGTCATTTTGGTCCTTACACTTTCAATTAGCTTAATTTTGACCTTTAATTTTACATTATGTGTCAATTTGGTCTAAATCATTAGTGTTTTTTATTAAAAAAAAATTATCACTAAATTAATTGAGGTTACCTTATTAAATTGAGTAAGTTTATAATTTTACTTTTAAAAATATGACACATGACACTTATGTTCGTATTTTTCATAAATAAATACTAAGTGTTGAAATCAATTGTACCAAATTGAGACAAAATCACAAATTCAAGATTAAAATTGAGGAAATTGAAATTACATGGATTAAAATGGCACAGTGATCAAAGCACAGGGACTACCATCATAATTTGTTCCAAAATAAATGAGTTACAAATATCGGATGAATCTAATTTTTTGTAATGCATAATATACACGCAAACCCTGATAAAATGAACAATTTGAATCATCAAAATGAGACTCGTGATGAGCCCCACTAACTCTCTTCATATTCTAATTTATATTAACTTAGCTCTATTTTGACTAATAATTTGTTAGTTATATGAGTAAAAAAAAATAATATTATCATCTCTTTTACATAATTATTTTTATATTATTTATTTTTATATTTCTACATTATCTACATTTATTTTGATTTATTTGATCTTATTGAAAAACATAAATATAATTATATCAAAACTGTAAAATCATCCCATCTTAAATTAGGTAGGTGTAATTCACCCGTTATCATATGCAAATTTTCTTGAACGGCAGAACCAATCCACCAAAGATCTTCTAGAGTGTTTTTTTCCTAAAGTTTCCTAAAGTGGTGTATTGTGTGGTTGAGATTTAATGCTGAAAAATTGATGTGACTTATCATTAAATCTCAACCACACAATGCACCACTCTAGGAAACTTTAGAAAAAAAAAACTCTAGAGGATCCTTCCTCGAAAATCTTACCAAAACTTGTGATTATGTTAATAAATGTGTTCGTATCCCTAGCATTATTGTTAAATTTTTATATCCAATTTATTTATTGAATGATGTGCAGCTAATCACTTGGGGCTCCGGATATGCTCCCTCCAAGTGTTGAGTTCTACACTTATTAGGTGCTATCAACTCATTAGGGTTATACCTGCAGACTTTACCTGAAATTTATCTTATCTACATGAAGGAGACGCTTTGTGTGAATTCCAAAATTAGTCCATGTGCGTGTAAATTGACCCAAACACTCCATCATAAAAATAAAAATAGAAAAAACTATTCAATTCTGTTGAATGAATGTGATCTTTTATACAGTGTCACACATATATGGCACGTATATGGTAAATTTGATAAATAAAATTAATTATTTTATCTTTAATTTTTATAAAACACCAAAGAACATGTGTGCAGCTAATAATTCTTTTGTATTCATAAAATTGCTCGATAAAATAATAGATCTAATTTGATGATTTTTTAGTAATACTCTGCACCATTAATTTTATGTCACTTGTCATATTATTTTTAATTAAACTAATAAAAATTAAGTTATGACAAATACTTTATACAAGAACGCTAAAAAAAATTAGAAGAAATTACAAATAGATGAGACAACACCAAAATAATTGCACTATAAATAGAAATATTTTGGATAAATTACAAATATACCCTCTTGATGTTTGCTTAAAATGCAGACTATCCCTGTGGTTTGAAAAATTACACATACCTCCTTATTAAAAAAATTTATTTAACATAATTAACTAAAAAATAAAATTCATAATTGTTCTCCTATAGAATAACAAAATTACCTAAATTATTAATTGAAACAAATATAAAAAAAGTAAAAAAATTAATTTTTAGAATATCAATCAAAATCAAACATGGTCAATTAAATTTGTTTTTAGCTCCAACAGCATCACGTGGAGTACTGTACTGGGACAATAATTTGAAAGTAACAATGATAGAAGAGAAATTTGTGTATGTAAATAAAATATTAGGTGATATTATTTTCTATTAATTATAAATATATATGTTTATTATTATTTCTCAAATACTTAAACATAAATGTAGTGGATCTTATTGTTAAAGTCAATCACAACAGTAGAAGGTGCCACGTGACATGTATTTTATCCACATACAAAAATTTTTTATTATAGAAACTCTAATTTTAAAGTTATAAAGAGAACTCTAATGATGTAGTAAAAGAAAAAAAATATAAATATAATCACATCATATATGAGCTCTACTCCTCAGTACATAATTAAAACTCTCCTTAAAATTCCAAAATTAAAACTCCCTTATTCAAAATATAACCTCAAAGCGGTGAGTGTAATTTACTCTGGATTCATTGTTTCGCTTTTGATACTCCCCTATTTGATTTCGTTGTTGGTCTTTTAGTTTTCCTAGCAGGCTTTCCTCTTCGCTGGCGGCGAACTATTACGCAATGCATTTTTTTATCTGTAAGAGACGGAGCAAAATCTCAAAGGTTTTTCTTTCTTCATTTCCATTCCTCCTTCGATCAATTATATAGTATTATATTATTCTCTCTTTTTTTATCATTGCTATAATTTTACTTTCTTCCTTGGCTTTTCTATGTTCAACTTCCTTCACTTTTGTTCTGTGTTCAAATAACTCTGTATCCCTTTTTGATTTTAGAGAGCTTTGTTATCTCCTCCACTACAACTCTATTAGAACTCTCGTTGAACAATTATCAGAATAATATTCTGTGTTCTGTTTTCATTTTACAAAGCTCCCTTTCTTGGTTTCTGTTTCTGTTGTAGTACAAAAGCTCTCTTTGTCCAACTATATTACAATATAATTCTCTATATTCAACCCTGCTTGTCAAAAAAAAAAAATTGTATTTCCTTTTGATTTTGTCTAGTGTCATCCAAGTGTTGTTTTCCTGTCTTTCATATCCTCTACAAAATAGTATTACTCTGTTCGTTCTATTTCGATTTGCAAAGCTGAGTTTCCTTATTTCCATTTCAGTTGTTGTAGAAAATTCCTTTTTGTTGTGTTATGGCCTTTTACATTTGTTTGAGATGTTCTAAATAAGTGTATTTTTTGATTTTTTTATGAAAAATGGATTGAGTTTGAAATGACATGGTAGAGAAGTTATGTGACTTAAATAAGATGACGTGACTAAATAAGATAGTGAGTTTTAAGCTTTTTAGAGGATGCCAAACCTAAGTTTCACTATCCTCACAAGAAACACCTGAGAAATGGCTGCGAGCATTGTTATTCCCATAGTAACAAAGATAGTAAAATTTCTGGTTGCCCCAGCCTGTCGTCAGTTTGGTTATTTAATTTTCTATGAAAGAAACATTGAAAATCTCAAAAAGCAAGTCCAAAAGCTTGAAGATGAAAGATTCGGAGTACAAAAATCAGTTGAAGAAGCAGAGAGAAAGAGAGAAAATATTAAACCAAATGTCGAGCGGTGGTTGACAACGGTGAACAAACTCAAGGAAGAGGCTGAGAAATTCATCGAGGATGAAGTGAAAGCAAGCAAAGGGTGTATGAGCGGGCGGTGTCCAAATTTGATATCACGCCGCTCCTTGAGCAAAGAAGCTAAAAATAAAACTCAACTTGTGGAAAAGCTACGTGGAGAAGGAGATTTCTCTGCTGGAGTGTCCTACCGTACACCTCGTGCGGGGATATCATTCACATCCATTGGAGGTTATAAGGGGTTTGCATCTAGAAGCTCGATTATGAACGATGTTATGGAGGCACTGGAGGATGATGGTATCTATATGATTGGGATATGTGGGATGGGAGGGGTTGGTAAGACAACTCTAGTGAAAGAAGTTGCCAAAAAAGCGGAAGAAAAGAAAATGTTCGATAACATCGTGATGGTAGAAGTGTCCCAATCCTCAGACTTGATTAATATTCAAGGTGAGATAGCCAAACTATTGGATATCGAATTGTTTGGGGGAAACAATTTATTTGCGAGAGCAGAGGACCTACAAAAGGGACTAGGGAGGAGTGGAAGAGTCCTTGTAATATTGGATGATGTTTGGAAGACACTAGAGTTGAATAAAATTGGAATTCCATGTGGGGATGATCGCAAGGGTTGCAAAATTGTGATGACTTCAAGAAGTAAAGATGTATGCAACAGCATGGGCACACGAGAGAATTTTGAGGTTGGCATCTTACATGAAGAAGAAGCATGGAATCTTTTCAAGGAGATGGCTGAAATTTCCGACGAAGGTCCATGTCATCGAACTGATTTGCAGATGACGCAAATGGCAGTTGCAAAGGAATGTGGAGGCTTGCCAATTGCTATTATTACAGTTGGGAGGGCACTTAGATGCAAAAAAAAGTATTCATGGGATGATGCTCTTGATCAATTACAGAAGTGTATTGTTAAAAACATCAGCGATGTAGATGAAAAGGTGTTTAAACCTTTGAAGTTGAGTTATGATAAGCTTGAAAGTGATGAAGACAAGAAATACTTTCTGCTCTGTTCTTTATATCCGGAAGATTTTGCTATTCCAATTGAAAATCTCGTTAGATATGCGATTGGGATGGAGTTGTTTGAGCGCATTGATAGCGTGCACCAGGCAAGAAACAGAGTATATTCCTCAGTTGATAAATTAAAAAATTGCTATCTATTGATGGATAGTAAAGAAGGTGAATGTGTCAAAATGCATGATGTCGTACGTGATGTGGCTATATCAATTGCATCTAGGGAGGAGCATCCATTTGTGGTGAGATGTGATGAAGTATTGAAAGAATGGCCCAAGAAGGACCGACTCCAAAAAAACGCTGCAATTTCATTAAAAGTTGATGGTATGCATTGGCTTCCTAGTAATTTAGAATTTCCAAATCTCAAGCTTCTACAGTTGGATTGCAATGCTAGATTACCACGAATCTCATATGATCTCAACGAAGGAATGGAGGAGGTCAAAGTACAAGAGACCCACGATAGTTTCTACCAAGGAATGAAAGAACTTAGGCCATGTTTGTTTGGGCGGACTGGATTAGCATTCCCATGACTAATAGTGCTAAGACAACGAATCCGTTGGATTATGTATCCTATCTTAACTAATAGTCAAGTTTAAAATAATTAATCCGTACTTCAATTGTTTAACCAAACATCGGATTAATAATTTTATTGGACTATTAGTCCAATCCCAAGCTCATGTCCACCCAAACAAACATGGCCTTAAAGTGCTAGCTTTATCTGATATGTACAGCTCGTTGCCGACATCACTTGGAAGCTTGACCAACCTCCAAACCTTGTCACTTTTTCATTGCCGACTTATTGACGATATCTCTATAATTGGAGCATTACCTAATCTGGAAGTTTTGAGCTTTGCCGGCTCTTATATCAAGGAATTGCCAAAAGAAATAATAGGTCACTTGAAGGTACTTGATTTATTGGGATGTATAGTGGAAAGGATTTACCCAGGGTTTTTGTCAAGCTTATCAAAGCTAGAAGAGCTGTATCTTGGGTCTATCTTTCAAACATTGTTCAAAGTTGAAGAGAGCAAAGAATGTGCTAAAGCAATTATCAATGAACTAGCGTCCTTGTCCAATTTGGCGGCTTTGGATATTGTTCTATTAAATATGGACTTCTGGCCGAGAGGTATTGAGAAGGTGAAAAAGTTCAATATAGTTGTTGGCGATTACTTTGGTGGCATCCCTGACCCTCGTTATTCATTATCAAATAAGTTGGATCTCCAAGGTCAAAACTTGAGTGACATTGAAACGAGGTTTGATTTGCTGTTGAAGAGAACTGAAATTCTGATTTTAACCTCAACTGCAGTAAGTTTGAAAATTCTCTGTGATTTGGTCGACGAAGATGGTTTTGAATGCTTAATGAAATTGACACTAGACTACTTGACTGAATTGGAATACCTCATCAATACAACAGATGGGGTTCCCCAGAGTGCTTTTCCTGTGAGTGTCTGTATCTTCGTAATCTATATAATTTCAAAGGGATTACTAGTCATGAATGTCAGGAATACCGACTACCGAACACGGCTTTCCGTGCATTGAAAGAGTTGGTACTATATTTCTTGCCTGAATTGACAAATATGTGGAAGGGTCCCACCCAACTTGTATGGCTCGGCAACCTGACGTCTGTAGATGTGTTCTGGTGTCATAAACTACAAACTACGTTCTCACTTTCCATAGCTAGAGATCTAAGGAAACTGCAGGACGTTCGGATAACTCACTGTGGCATGATGAAAGCAATTGTTTCAAGTGAAGGAGGAGATGATAAAATTGAGTTTCCTAAACTAAAGCAATTGTATCTTAATTACCTGCCAAGTTTTACTGCTATCTACGAAGCTATGAATGCAATTGAGCTACCACAACTGAGTTACTTGCAACTGTCGAATATGCCAAAGCTCAACTGTCTCTGTCCTGCTTCAGATTCAGAGAGTAATTGTGATCCCATCATTCAACCCCTCTTCAACAACAAGGTATGCTTCTCTTAAGAACTTAATCAATTGCTAATTTGTGAACAACTTTTCATTTTATTTACTATTATATCTCTATTTGTGATTTGAATTTTTTTCATAAAAATTGCGTAATAAGATCGTGTGCATTACTTTTACACCATATTCAATATAAATTGTGTGTTTACATTGATACATATTTGTGTTTATATATCTTTCATCATACCAGATAAAAATAAATAAAATTTACTAACAGATTTCCTATGCATAAAATTCATACAGAATGATGTGATAATTGTATTCTTACAATCTTGACCCACAATAATGGGCTTTTTGCATTGAAGTGAGAACATATAAGGCCACATTATTCTGAATGAAAAATTCTATTTTAAAAAACAAAAATTTTTCTAAATTTCCAATTATTCTATCAAATGGTAATGTGTGTGGGATCCTACTCACATGTGAGTAATTAGCAAAATAGTTGATACTAGTTTAATTCATAACTGTAACAAAATTCTTTTGAATGATTAAAAAAAATTAAAAATTAATGCCCTAGTAAATTATGAATGCTTAATTAGTTCTACATTTAAAAATACAATAAAAGTACTATTTAATTAATACTTTGTTGTAATTGGTTAAATTTTTATTTTCTATTATAAGTTTATATTTCATTCATTTATTTATTTTTCTTTTGTTGTAATCTAGATTTGTTAAATCATAAAGTAATAAGACTATATTTTTATATCTTTTAGTTATTGTAATAATTTTTTTAGAGAAAAGTTAGGGATCATGAAATTTTTTTTATGAAAATGATCATGAAAGATTTATGATCCTTGAATTACCTTGATTAGTGTGTGATGTTTTATTCTAAGTGTAATCCAAGGATCACAAAACTTTCATGATTATTTTCATGAAAGGTTTTTCATGATACCTAACATTGCTGATTTCTTTATATCTTGATCTATGTAAATAAATTTAGTGATTATATCTACGAGTAAAATTTGTGTGGATATTAGCAAATAAAAAAAATTGTAACTACTTATCATTTTTACTCAAGTACTTTCTCTTTCTTTTTTTTTTCTTTTTCTTTTTCGTTTTAAAATTATGTATGAAAGGTCCAATTTCAAAAGTTTGCCTTCGGCTCCAATATATCAAGGCCGACCCTAGCTTGATTATACTATTAATTTATGGCTTTGTTTTAATTTAATCAGATTGATAATAATTATTAGCATTTTTAATAGAAAATATAAATATAAGTGGGCATGTGCCATGTTTGTAGGTACAAAATTATAAATTTGCTCAACTTAGTAAGTTAATTTTAATCATTCAGTAATTATTTTTTATCAAAAACACTAATAGCGTTATCAATTGGATTAATTTGACACAAAATCTAAAATTAAAGGTTAAAATTGAGTCAATTGAAAGTATAGAGTCTAAAATTGCATAAGAGACAAAATGTACGGACTATTGGTGTAATTTGTCCAAAGATTTATTTAGACAATTGGGAAATTCTATAATATATACGCCCTAGTTACGACGTTTGTGATTTTTAGTTATGACATATTGTGATGTTAGTTATAACTTGTATATGACTCATTGTGATGTTAGTTATTCCAAGAAGTATTTGGTTATGACTATTTTTTTTTTAATTACGACTAAAAACGATTTAGTTATGACATTTATGATAATCAACCTTATAAATATTATAACTTACCTATAATACATACACTTCTAAAGATGTGTATCATAGCAGCATGACCTTTATATATTAGAAACTTTCAACTATTTATGAGAAATAAAAATGTCAATCAATATGTATGACAAAGATCAAACCAAACAGTTCTAAAGATTAATCTAACAACACTAAGGACTTGCTAAACAAAAGTTAATACCTATAATTCATAAAAAAGAGACTTGAAGTAACGCTTTGTTTGTACAAAAAATATATTTTAGTAAAAAATATTTTTTATGAATTTTTTTTTCTACAAAGCATTTTTCAAAGAAAGATTTTTCTATATTTGATAGTAGTAGTGGTGGAATGGAGGTGGATGTGGAAGTGGAGGCGGCATGGTGGTTGGGCGATGCAACGGTGATGGCAATAGTGATGGTGGTAGTGGCCGTGGTGGTGGTGGTGGTGGTGGTGTGGTGACATTGATAAAATTTTAGTTCGGAAAACTTTTTTCGCATTTTAAAAGTAGAAAATATTTTTTGCCCAAATAGGTTTATTTTCATTGGCAACCATGATGAGAATCCTCTTAAGCTCCATTTGTTTAGACGAAAACTATTTTTTATATTTTTTAGTTGAGCAAATTTATACATAATTTTGTATAATTATGTGATTCAGATCATTTAGCCCAATTAAAATTGCAGAATCGTAAGATCCTACAATTTGAATCAAGATTTGGACAACCATAATGAGAATCCTTGTACCTCATTATCTAGTGACTAATTCAACTCCTCATCATCTTGATCACCCTCTAGTATACCGAAAAGAAAATTAATGTGTATTTTTATGTTTGGTAATTTAAGAATCTAATAAAATGGGTTGGACTTTTCAGCTCAAGGATCTAAAAATGTATTGTAATAGATTTGTAAGAACTGTTTTACATAATTATTCAAATATGAAGTATATTAGTTTGAAAATTAAATGGATGATGTTTAATGGGAATAAAATCTGATGTGCTTTTTTATGTTTGTAACCATGTGAATGGACTCACAGGTTAAATTGGCTACCATTGAAAACTTGCTCATCTATGAAATGGAGAATCTGAGGGAGATTTGGCCTGGGGAACTTCAAGCTAAACTAAGAGAGATGACAGTTCGTAAGTGTCATTGGCTCTCAAATATTCTTTTCCCATCCAATTCAATTAAGGGCATGCAAAATCTTGAGCTACTGATAGTAGAGGATTGTCGATCTATAGAAGTAGCGTTTGACCTTGAAGGCCTTGTTTGGGAAGGCATATCAGATATGGCATTCCCTTTATTAAAACGGGTGGAACTACGCTATCTACCAAAGTTGACACATGTTTGGAAGGACAATTCACAAGGAATTCAAGGCTTTCAAAACCTAAGATCCTTAATAGTAATTCAGTGCGACAGTTTGAGAAATCTATTCTCATACTCTTTAGCCAAGCTTCTTGTGAAACTACAAGAAATAGAGGTAACTGAATGTGGCATGATGGAATCTATCATTGCAAATGAACCAAATGCAGATATTGTAGTGATACCAAATATAATCATATTCCCTCAATTGAGTAGTCTCAAACTCAGTGATTTGCCAAACCTTAGGAGTTTCTGCTCTAGGACTTGTACGTTTGAGGGATCGTTGTTGAAAAAAATAAAAGTAATCAACTGTCCCAAAATGGAGATACTCCCATCAGCATTTCAGCGCAAGCTAGAGCAACAAAAGGCACACTTTTCAACCTCATCTCAACACCTCCTCTTCTATGGAAAGGTACGTTAATTAACTTTAAAATATAGCATTCACAGTTAATTAATTATCAATTCTTGAAAAGAAAAATAGATGATAAATGTGTGTTTTTAAAAATAAATCATCAATTTTTTTTGTTGACGAACGTGACAAATTGAAGATATTATGATTATCAAATCGAGGCAATTCTCTTTGTTTGGAAGATTTACATGAAGGACCATACAAAATAAACAATTCAGATATTTTGATAATCTGAATAATCTATTTTATAAGTTTTGTGGATAAATTATCAATAAAACAAAATCATATTGATATGATAATCATAGCAATACAATTTTATTTTTGTGTTCAATAAAATGGAAGACCGTCTAGTTTTTTGAAGACAATAATGATGAAATCTTGTTGTTTTAATTATCGAATCAATATGATTTGTTTGTTATTTTTTTATGATCTATACACAAAGACTTTGTACAAAAAACGATTTAAATTATTGAAGTTGGACTCATGATAAGTATACACGTCGGCCGAGCCCAACCACTCTTTTGAACAAAGATTTATTAGGAAAATAAATTTGTAAACATCAATTCTTGGAGTTCTCTTTTCCAGTTTAATGATGAGGTGTATATCATATGCAAATTATGTTATTTGTGAGTTTGATTATTACAAATAATAACTCAATATTATGAGTCATAAAAAATTTGACAAATTACGACGATAGTCCCTGTGCTTTGGTCATTGTGTCATTTTAGCCTCTGTAATTTCATTTAGCACGATTTTTTTATTTTTTATTTTTAGATAGGATTTAGCTCGATTTTAACCATGAATTTATGACTTTGTTTCAATTTGGTCCAATTGATTACAATTCTTAACATTTTTTTTATATGAAAAACATGCAAAAAAATGTCATGTGTCATATTTTCAAAGGTAAAATTATAAACTTACTCTATTCAGTTAGTTAACCTTTAACCAATTTATTGATAATTTTCCTTTAAAAACATTAATAATATTATTAATTGGACCAAATCTATACAAAATCTAAAATTAATGGTCAAAATTGAGCCAATTGAAAATGTAGGGACTAAAATGACACAATGAAGGGACTAAAATGACACAATAAGTACAGGGACTACCAGTGTAATTTATCCAAACACAAATTGAGTCATAACCAAATAAGGTATAACTAAATAATTTTTCAATCATAACTAAAACAATATCGTAACTAACATCATAATGTATCATAATTAACAATACAACGTATCATAATTAATATAAAATGTCATAATCAAATACATAAAAATTGTAACCAGAGGTACATAACACCAATTCCCATCCCTTACTGATGAACAATAAATGGAGAAATAGATAGACACGTGGACATATTGATAGATTTGTGAATAAATAGACAGATAACCCGGGTATGATTTTTTAAATTGTTGTTATCTATATGGATAAAAAGGAATATGATTTAATTCCCCACTATGATTTGATCATAACTCCCACTTGATTTGAACTGTTTGCGATGTCCAATTAGTCAGTCAACACTCATCGAGTCCAATTTTGTTCATATTATTTTTGTGTATGTGAGTAAATTTGAAAATACTAGAGACTCTAAAAATTTTATCAAAAATTTTATCAAATGTTTCACATGGGTGTGAGACTCACATGGGACTCCCATTGTGTGGGTCTCACTTGATAGAATATTTGGGGTCTCTAGCATTACTCGAGTAAATTTATTTTCATACCATGCACTGTTTAAATTGTGTTAATTCACTACAACAAAATTAATTATTTGCGACTTTAAGTTTATGGTACACATCAAATACATGTTGTAATTAGTACATTGTATGGCATTTTTTTTGTGCAAGCCGTTAATATTTTTTCAATAACGACATACATACCATGTAAGTTGTTAATTCATATATTTATAACATACAAAAGCATGCCGTAAAAAATGTATATTTTCACGACTTACAAAAATATGTTGTAAAATATTTGTACTTAAGACGACATACATTTCATGTTATAAAATATTATACCTTTACACAGCATGCATTAACATGTCATGAAAACTTATACAAAAAAAAAAAAAAAAAAATTCAATCCGATTTTTTTATGGCAAGCAAAAGTGTGTCGTAAAATATTTACACTTAAGACGACATACATTTCATGTCGTAAAATATTATAACTTTATACGGCATGCTTTAGCATGTCGTGAAAACTTTTATTTCTAATTCCTTTATTTGTGTTCTGTGTGGGTGTGTGGGGATTCAGAAGCAAGAATGATCAACCAAACATACGAAGGTTTAGGGTTTAGGTATCAATTTAGTGTTCTAAATTTTATGAGTCCGATTGCAAAAGTCTTATGTTCTGAATTTTTTGTGTAGCTTGATTCAAAATTTTGATATTTTGTATTATGTATTATCTTATTAATGTTGAATTTTGTAGATGGAAGACTCTTCTATCGAGATCACAGAAGAAAACCATTATGCTTCGCATGAGGCTACGGTGCAAGCAATTGAAGCAATTTCTTAAAGTATTATAATTTCATTACATGTACATGCGTATACATATATATATTGTGAACACAAGTTTTCATAATTTGATTTTGATGGCTTTAGGTTGATTAGGGAAACTGGAGGAAGCAATAGAGCAGCTTACACAGGCTATTTTGCTCAACCCAACCTCAACAATTATGTATTCAGGTTCTCTCACCGCAATTGCTTCAGCCGAAGTCTTTTTTGAAGAACGTTTTCATGGTACCTTCTCTCTCTCTAGCTCTTTTTTTTTTTTATTTTTTTTATTCTCGCTGATTTTCACTTGCATTTCGAGATTCCTATGATTTTTCGGTAGTTCAGTACAGTGAATTGATGTTGAATTTGATATTCCTTGCCGAGATTCCTATGATTTTTCAATTCAGTTTTAAATTTGCTGTTAAATTGTTTCATACATGAATTTATTGATCTTTTATGCTGTTTAAATCATGTTTACAAGATGGAATGAAAAGAGGCTTTAGTAAAGCAAACTTATAGCTATTTTGGGGGTGAGTTTTCATGTTGTCCAGAATTGAAATTATGCAGAGGCCTGACTTCGATGAATTTTTAAAAATAGTTCTCTACCTTGTAATTTCATGAATTTTAACAGACAATCCCTCCATGAGTCTAGTATGTTGTGTAAAATTTCTAGAAAAAAATTCCAATAAATGAATTTTAAATAAATCTCAAACTATGTTGTGTTCTGTTTTACTACTTTGCTAAATTCTATTTTAACCTATTGTTTTCTATCTGAATCCAAAAATAAAAAATAAAAAGTAAAAGAATCAAGTCTTATTATGTTAGAGAGGCATAGAAGAAGTGTAAATTTGAATCAAATTATGGTTGAACAAGCTCACCTATCCACTTCAATGAAAAGCTAAAACACTTCAACGAAGTACTTGGTTTGTTTGACAAATTTACCAATAATAGCATTCTTAGTGTGTTTAGTTTTAGTTTTTTGAATTCAATTTTATGGAAATTGAGTTTTTTTTTTTTTTTTTTTTTTTTTTTATTTTTAGTGAATATTTTTAAAATTTTAAGCATTTTTTTAAAAACTTCTTTAGATGTAACTTCCTTAGATGTATCTACATAGTAAAATATTTGTGAAAAAATATTTTAAAAAATTAATAAATGCACAAAAATGCAAAAAATGTACTGAATTTTCGTATTTTCGGTATTTAGTGAATTTTTTAAAGATTTTTTTCACAAATATTATATTTTTTAAGTGTATTTATGTTCGGTGTGTCTAAAAATTTTTAAAAAAATTGCTTAAAATATTAAAAAATTCATTGAAAACAAAAAAAAAAGTAGAATTTTTTGAAAAGTGTTTTCTGGAAACCAAAATCAAACAAACAATAAGTGATCCAACAAGGTATCAAAACTTTGTGATTTTAGGAGGCCCTAGGTTATTCTTTTGTTTTCCTGTGTTATGTTTGTACACCTATTTAATTATGTTTGTGGATTATCTGTGTGTCTCGCCACTTACAAGGTAGGGTCACATGTGAGGGACTATAAGATAGCTTGATATAGGCTTTAAGCTTTTGAGATAATTGGTGATCTAACTAAGATGAAGAGAAGAAGATCTTTTGGCTATGCTGTTTGAGTTTCATAGAAAGTGGAAAACTGCTTCTAGAGGTTTAGGTGAGAGTCTTTTTCCAAAAATTAAAAAAAAATAAATTAAGAACAATGAAGGTTTCTGAAATTTTTACCTAGAATCAACATGAAAAAATAGTTTCACAAGGTTTCAGTGTGAGTGTCAGTGATACATATCCAAATTGATCCACCTTTTACCAAAAATCTTTGTATATCTCTGTTTTGAAGTTTAGAACAAAAGAGTTGTCAACTGATAGTTTTTTGCGCAAGCCATTTTTTGTGGAAGGTAAGAGTCTTGCATGTTCAGAAGGCCACAACTCTGTCGAATACAATGCCAAAACATCTTATTTATATAGGCTTACAACCCAAAATAAAATAGGAATCACTGCAGCTAAAGCTATTGTGGAGGCTAGAATTGTAGTGATAGAACATGTGGGGCTTACTCCTCAAGCCATCAGTGTTCTTGGAGGATTTAGCCCTTAAGGAAAGAATATTGATAGTGCTGTCAAGGTCAAAATCTCTCCCTACTAGTAATGCATGCATACATGACATAAATACTTCACAATTTTTGTTGATAAAAAAAAAAAAACATAAATACTTCATAATTTCATATATAATCAAATATGCTCACATACAAATCTGCGGATCCCAGATCCCAACAAGAATTGTAGTGATAGAACATGTGGGGCTTACTCCTCAAGCCATCAGTGTTCTTGGAGGATTTAGCCCTTAAGGAAGAATATTGATAGTGCTGTCAAGGTCAAAATCTCTCCCTACTAGTAATGCATGCATACATGACATAAATACTTCACAATTTTTGTTGATAAAAAAAAAAAAACATAAATACTTCATAATTTCATATATAATCAAATATGCTCACATACAAATCTGCATAATTTATTTTAGTGTTGTGATGCTAATTTGGCTTGGTTTTTGCAGATTGTTGACTTTGCCCTGGCTTTGAAGGAAGCTGGGTGCTTCTGTTGTTTTGGAATGTGTGCTTGCACCTGTTGCTGCTGTTGCAACATCTGCTCTTCGAATTCCTACCATTGGTATTGGGGCAGGGCCTTTCTGTAGTGGCCAAGTTAATTGATTCTTTAGCTCTCTTTACTACTCCTAATAATGAATTGGACTTGACTGGCTTGTGTTGTGTATAATCTGTTTGCTTTTATTTGTACATATAATTTGTTATCTAATCTTATAATTTGATTTTGAAGTACTAAAGTGGGAATTTTAATGATATCATGTGTTCATATGTTGAGTTACTCATGTAATGAACTTTGAATTTGCTCTCTCTCTCTCTCTCTCTCTCTCTCTCTATATATATATATATATATATTAAAAATAACCTTCTATGACATATAAAATTATGTCGTAAAAAGTGTAATGATTTATGACATGTAAAAAAATGTCGTAAAAAATTATATACAGCATACAAAGTATGCTAGAAATATATTAAAAATAACATTCTACGGTATATAAAATTATGTTGTGAAAAATATAATGATTTATGACATGCGAAAAAATGTCGTAAAAGTTTATATGCGGCACATATGGTATGCCATAAATATATTAAAAATAACCTTCTACGGCATGCAAAATTATGCCATAAAAAGTATAACAATTTATGGCATAAAAAATGTCGTAAAAAATTATATACGTATACAAAATACATCATTAATGTTTAATTTATTATTTTTTACAACTTTACCTGCATGTTGTAAATGAGGATAAGCTTTCCATGACATGTCATATAACGACATTTGTGTGCATGTCGTAAAAGAGTTTTTACAGCATGCATTGCAAGCCGTAAAAATTCAATTTTGTTGTAGTGATTTTGTCTATTGTATAAAATGTGTCCTATGGTATTTCTTTGACACACTATTTGCTGCAGTGGCTAGAATTATGGCACGTTGAGAATATAATCCTTATAAAAAATTAAGTTGATTTGAATATTATAAATTCATTATTAGATTACATTTATTTTTAAATAATAAACAGTACTCTATAATTAAAATTATAATAATTGTTCATTTTGACTTGACAATTGTGATCTAACCATATAATTATAGTTATCTAAACAATTTAATTTTTTGCAAAAATAATTTTCTTGACAGATTCTTTAATATGAACTGCTCACATAATTGAGGTGGACCTCGTGGTTGGCCCACATAAGCCCAACAGCCCCTCCAATTAGTTTTGCCAACTAAAGATAAGCATTACTCTAATTTTATATATTATTAAGGATTTTTAATCTTTTTAGTCTTACAAATTTATCTCTGCTCATGAGGGTCAAATGATTCTCCATTCAATGTAGTTCATAATTTTATATTGTTTTTTTGCAAGAATAATCTTCTTGATAGATTCTTCAATATGAACTACTCAGATAATTGAGGTGGACCTCGTGGTTGCACTACAAGAAATGTCACTTTTGGCTACTAAAAAATTAGTCGCCAAAAGTCCAATATTTAGTCGCTGAAACGATTTAGCGACTAAAATATTTTGTCGCCAAACTCGTCGCCTATACCCTTTTGGCGATAGTATTGGCGACTAAACTTTGTTTGGTCGCCGAAAGTGACTACATTTCGCTACTAAATTATGTTTAGTCGGCAAATATTATGTTTCCACCACTAAACCTTTAGTCGCCGAATGAGGCTTTTTGGCTACTAAGTTGTTGTGGTCGGGGAAGGTGTCACCTTTAGCTACTAAATAATTAGTCGCCGAAAGTACACATTTGGCTACGAAACATTATTTAGTCGGCAAAAGGTGCATTCCGTGACTAAAAATTTAGTGGCAATAGTTTCTTTCTCTCATTCTCAATTGTTTTAGCTACTAATTATTTGGTTGCCAAAACTTTTTGGATTATGTTTTGCTACTAAATTATTAGTCACCAAAACATTTGATTACGTATTTGGCTACCAAAATATTTGGTAGCCAAATGCTTTAACGTGTTTTTTTTTTTAAAAAAAAAAAAAAATCTAAACAACCTGTATCCATTATGAATACAACCTGTACCCTGTATAAACAATATAATCCATCAACACTAAATATGTTATCAAGCATTCAACAATGTGCACACATTTTAGCTCCAACCATCCAAAATATTAATATTGAACGTCCAATTCTATATATAATACAAATTCCATACGAACCAAGTCTAATCCAACGTCAATAATTTCATTTCATACATAATACAGGACTAACCAAATTAATTAACAAAAAAAATCATTAGTTTGTATGTCCAAAACCATCATGTAAACTTCATTTAGTGGAAGCAAAACCTTCAGGTAAACTCATAGTTCGTAATGCATCCTCTGCATAAGATAGACGTGCTGGAATGGAGTGGCTTCCTGATGCACAGAGATGAGATTGGTGCATGGGCCATACTAGGACACTAATTCGAGTTGGAAACACAGAGATGAGATCTGCATATCTGAGACTGACAGTTACCTTGCTGCAACAACAAAATGGACTTAGCAAAGTGAAATTTATCAACTTAAGAAGGCTATCAATTCTTGTACCACAAAGAACATATATATTGCACAGTTTTATTACATGATGAAATTTCAAGGACATGTTTCAACACCTTATGTTTACTACTTGACATAAAGAGGACACATACACGGTGGTCTACGCAAAAAAAAAAATAGGACACTCAGGTGTGGATTAAAACCGTTATCATGGTATCCAGGTTTTGCTTTGGAAAGACCAAAATGCCCATGTCCTCCAACACTTTTGGAACAACACTAATTATGTTTCTACCCTACAAATAGTTTCCTTATTCAGTTCACCAAAATCCATATTCTATCTTCCAAAGTGAACTGGATACGTCAATAACATGCATCCCAATAACATGCTTTCAAAATCCAAAAGTGCCTACATTTTAAAATTTTCAATTTTGTTTGCATACCATTTTCCATTAGGGAAAAAAAATGAAAAGAGCAGAGGTAAAGAATAAAATATGAATCCAAAAGACACCCCACTGTATCCCAACTTTTATAATCCAAAAGTCCCTAAGTTTAACATTTTCAAAACATCATAACAGGGCAAGTGGATGAACTATCCAAACGGCCATGTTGCAAGCTCCTTAGGCAAGTGGATACATTACAGTATAATCTTGAATTCCTTAGGCAAATGCTTCTTTTAAACAATACACTCTTGAAAGAAAAAAGAAAAAAAAGATGCAGCTATTCATACAACAAAAAAAAAATCTTTTTTTTTTTGGATACTGATTTTCCTAACCTCCTTTTTCTAATTGCAGAATCTCTAAGCACCAACTTCTGGATTAAAATGCAAATACTCCTTTAGTATTTTAAGAATTGCCTAATACAAAACAAGAACTGGGGAGATTACCCAAACAATGCAGATTCTGCTTTAAGATGCTTCATCACATAATTAAACAACTTAAATAGAAAGATAATTAAATTGATGATAACAAATCTCCCTGCTGATGAAATTAGTTTCAATTTCCTGGCATAGTTAACTGAAAACAAATACACATGTTCAGTACCAACTAAATTAAATCTAGCCATTATGTGGATGATGGGTAAAATGATGATGGATGATGGGTAAAATGATGCAACTAAGAAGATTTTGTTTAACAAAAAAATTGAAGGTTACATATCCTAGCAGTATATATTATTATACATAGAGTCAAACACAACCTAAAAATATTAAATGTTAGATAATTTCAAATAGTAATTGATAGCAATTGCAAACTTCAATTTTCAATTATACCTTGCACCAGGACTCGATGACGCATGTAAACACAATATGGGATTGTGAACTTTTTGAATGTATGTTTGTTGCTCCAACCTTCCTACTTGAAAGCCCCCAAGCCAGAAATAAAAGTTAACAAGCATAAAAGAAAATCCATGAAGTATCAACAAGTAGCAATCTGTAGCACTAATTCAATAAACAACAAGAAACATGCTCATGCAAAAAAGAACAAAACTTGAATGCCTTGTTATTTGCTACCTTAATTAATACAAGATCTCCGATCTGTTCATTGTATATCTGAGACAGCAAAAGATAAAAATCAACAGATTCATCAGTTGCCACTTCCAGGAAATTTTACAGATTCATCAGAAGAAGAAATCAAAAAACAAAAAATAAAAATCAAATTATAGAATACTACTTTCTCGAAGGACATGGATGTGTCAGATGTCCGTTGAATAAACAAAAAGTGAGTACCACACACTTTTTAAATTATATAGAGGGAAAATTTCAGGGGAAGAAAGGGGGAAGCACTTAATAAAAGGATGTGGTTGATCATGGAAGAATCTAGAGCCAATTTTGCAAGCATATCAAAATAAAAATTTCAATTGGGTTAAACTCTATTATAACTGCATTAAGAATGTTCAAATCCCCCACGAAACAATGTAATTTCTTCTTGGAAAGCATTAAAAATTTTCAATTGTTTTTATTATGTTATTAAAAATTTCTGTAAGATGGCATCAAGATAAGCATGCCTAGAAGTGCATTAATTATGGAAACATTATCAGTTGAAATTAATATGTGGCAAAGCTTAGAACCATAGATAAGAAACAATGCTTTTGGGAGATTGAATGCAGGACGTACTAGGGAAAAATTAGATAAGCTAGCTGAGATGCTACTATCATGTGATACAGAGGCTAATGTGTGCTCTAGTAACATGTTTGCTATGAAACTTTTGCAAGCATAAGGAGGCTAAAAAATCATGGAAGAAAAATTAGTAGTGGCAAAACCAGCAAAGTAGATATTGTCTAATTTCTGAAATTAATATCAAGAAGGGAGGAAAAAAAACAGATCCAAAAGGGCTTCTAAATAGTGAAACGCCAATGATCCAAAAGGGCTTCTAAATAGTGCATCCTTAAATGAATAGCCCTTATAGAGCCAGCCCCAAGAAATTGGGATTAAAATTTACTAAGTTGAGATGAGTATTACTCGTCCATGGCATCCTCAAATGAATAGCCATTACAGGAGAGAATAAATCTCTTGCACAGGACAGTCAACATAGCTATATATATATATAGATATATATATACTTATATATATATAGAGAGAGAGAGAGAGAGCATACGCGAGACGGAGCATCAACGGAGCAGAGTTCTTCTCAACGATGAAGCCTCTGGATCTCGCGGCGGTGGTGGTGGATCTGTGAAGATCGGCGGAGGAGGAGGAGGCGGTGGCGTGAAAAGAGGGCATCGACGGAGGTGGTAGCGGAGGCAGTGGTGGTCGCAGCAGTCACGATGGCGATGGCGGAGGAGGTGGAGGAGGTGCTCCGGTTGCCAGCGAACGCGAGGAGGAGCGGCG